CAGTAACTCAATCTGTTAGAAGAAATTATATTTCTACCTTTCTTGGGGACAAAAATTTCACTGAAGATGAAAATAGCAGCAGTCCTCTAGATAGAAGACTTGGCTGGGTTATAATTCAAACACTATATTCTTTGAATACTCAATTTAAATGAAGACATAAAATAACAAAGTGAACTACACATGTATCTGAGAGTAATGGGCTCTCTTCTATTATGGTATTAAACAAGAGAGTGTCTTCCCATTGGATTATTAACGTACTCCTGTAGCACAGCTAGAAGAGGTTCACATATCAATTGCTCTCAGCAAAATATAAACCTGAACACAGTATACTTTCCTCCTTTTATGATTCTTATGCACAGCTGCTGCCAACATAATAAGTCCCAGTACACACTGCCCAGGTGCTGTGTAACCACTGAAAGTCTAAGGTGCATCTTTTCTACTAACTATGACAAAAAGATACTTCTAAGTTAGCTAACTCACTATCTTTCCTTTTTTATCATACATTGGCACCTTATGACATCTCTAAAGCTTAGATGTCATGCAGTAGAGTGTGCACTTTACATACAATTAGCCAACATACTTTACCAAAAATGCACATACAGATCTATGATTAAAGTTTACAGCTCTCTTCCATATACGGAGAGTATAGCAAACCCTCACCCTCAGTCTTCCCTTAACCCCCTGGCCATTTCAGAGACTAAGTTCAGACTACATGTAGCTCTGAGAGGTGGCTGTAACAGGGGTCATTCTTTTACAGCTAGAGATCATGGCAGTTATGACTTCTAGTTCTTGGTTGAATCCTCTTATTTCTACCTTCTTTCCAGGAGTTTCTGAGGAAGAAATGGATAAGCGCAATACATTAGCAATGAGTAACTAGCTTTCTACAGTAGTTTTAAATGAAATACAATCCCAATCAATGTAAACCCTGGCTGTTAAAAAATGCAGGAGTTAAATATTAATCAAGAAATGCATTGGAAAAGAAAACAAAGGTCACTCCAAAAAATAACAAAAAGGTTATTTCTATAGAATTTTTTTGCTATTTCTAACACAATTTGACTATTGCAACATAATTAGGATAATTAGCTCTATTAACTAAAATGTACATCTAGAACAATGGCTACGCTACCTGAACACATTTAACAGCAAAAGGTCACTTTCTTTTCTGCAAATGTCCTCTCTGTAACCCATGAACAGTCATTGTGCACTGCAAGATATCAGGCTTGCCATTCCATTCCAAAAATCCAATCACATCTGTTCAGTAACATATTTAAATATACTTAAAGGTCTTTAGTTACCTATCATTTTTACATAGGTGAACTTCAAATATCCAGAAACCCTAGATATTTTGAATAAAAACTTAAATCTTCAGTTACAGGCATGCTGACATTGAATAAATTGTATGTTTGTACTGAACAAGGACTCTCTCTCTCATCTACATTGTGAAGAGAACTTTAACAAGTCCCTTCCTCAGAGGTTGTAAGAACCATTTTTTTTCCTTAGAAATTTTAACACAAGCCATATTCCACATGTTAGTCTACTGATTTTACTCCTATCATACACTGCCAATTTTTTTAATGTCTAGAAAGGCTAGATCCTATAAATTGGGACTTCTTTGTTCTTTATACACAGCTATATGCACAGTAAAGTAACACAAAATGCGCTGACATGCAGGGCAGTGAATATGGTCTTTTGCATTTCATCTTCTTCCTCTTTAAATCAGCACAGTGATATATAGTGTTCAAATAAGTGGGTTGATCATTCTGTCCCTTAAAGACAAATATTCATTATTAATTTCACAAAAGAATGACTGCAACAATTTTTATTTAACTATTTTTACTTTCAACATAATTTGTGCACTTGGAAGTGCAGGAAGACAAGATGCTTCAAATATGGACTCAAATTTTGCAGTTTATACAGAATAGTATAGAACATACACATGGATCTGTGGTTATATTCGAAAGTGTCCACTAAGTAGTAGCACGTGGACCTAGAGTCCTTCATGTCTTACAATTCTTTTTCTCCTGGTATCACATATTGTTCAGGAACATGTGTCTCGGGCTGGCAAGATGGCTCAGTGGAATAAGTGCTTCCCTGGCAAGCGCAAGGGCCTGAGTTCAATCCCTGGTTCCCCACTGCCCACCCCCCCCCAAAAAAAAAGATTTTAGAATAAGATTTCAAAAAAAAATCCTTTGTGGTAGAAAGCTTTTCTGTGAATTTTGGACCAAAGTATACAAAATATATTAGTTTACTAACTCTACCTTTGTCATACATTGGCAATGTCCTTAATATCTAGAGATTAGAGTTATAAGATTATGATGCATTTTTTAGTAGATAGCAA